CCATCCGAATACATCTTAAAACATGATACCAATAATTTTTTTTATAAAATATTATCTTAAAATATCAATTTTTTCAAACTAGTAAAGACATATTAAGATATGAACATATGTTGATATTAGCATTTAGCGTATACAGGATATTTAATTTCTTTTTTCACAATTAAAAAAAGGAATAGCAACTTAAGTAATCGGTTGCAGAAAATCCAAATTGTGACATATTTACTAATTAGTCACTCATTTAGTGCATAGTGACTATGATTGTTAACTGCTTGATGAAAATATTCAGTTGCTAATATAGTCAGTCACTAAGTCTGCTGCAAAAACAAAAAGACAGCTACTAACAAGTAGTTGTCTATCTCAGTTTGTGATTAATTTTGTAATTGATTTATGATTAAATAAAAACTTTAGGATGTGTAATTTTTAATGTTTTTTTTTTCTGTTTTGACACTTTGTTTTCGTATTTTTTGGGTTAAGAAATTAATTTTAGTAATTAAGTTAAAGAGAACTTGTATATTCAAGAATTAAGTATGAACTATTTTAATAAAAATATATCTTAAAAATTAAAAGAAACTAGTTTGAAGTAGCTGAGAGAGAGTTGATTTATTGTTTGAACAATAGGTTAAGTCTATAACTTAACCTTCTTTTTTTATCATTGATTAAATTATATGTTTTAACTTTTTAATTGTATGCCTTTGATATCATTTTTTTTTTATAGAAATTTGTATTATAAACTAATCATGGATTTTAGATTATTTACGACTTTTTAATTAGTTTGATTTTAGTGAAATAATGTGTCAAATTTATTTCTTGTAGGATGATACTCTATTTGTCACTTTATTACTTGCATGACATAGTACACTTACTAAAACGGTTGTCACAAGTCTAAGAAAACTAATTTGGCTTCGTTGATAATGCAAGTTGTTTTCGTGTGAAACATTTGTCAAAGTTAAGTAAATCTTTAAGTCATATAGAAAGTAGATCGAACAAAAGGTTAAGATGGATTAGGATTAAAACTTCTGCCTCATTAACTTTTGGCCTTAAATTTGACTAGTAGTTTGATGTTTTCAGTATAAATTTTTTATTTGGCACAACTCTAATCTTTATTTGCAATGACAGTGTTACCTAAACAAACAAGAATAAGAATAAATAAATTCATGTTATGAGTTTTCAACTAATCTTAAGCTTAGTTAAGATTTAGAATTAAAAATCATTCTTATTCTTACATTATCACACATTTGTGACTTTGCACTTGTAACAACTCTAAGTGGTAATTAATATTAACATTTACATTAGAGAAAAAGTAGTGACTAAAAATAAAAATAAGTTAAACTATTCGATAAGGGCCCATAACTTAACCCATGAGTCCTAGTAATAATATTCATAGTAGTATTGTCACTATGGAAACATTTGTCAATGCTACAACTTTATTGTTTATCAATCTAGTTATTACTATCCATATGGTCTACCTACAAATTCTATTCCTTCATAAAGTTAAAGTGGTTAGTTATTTTTTCATAGCATGATGTAAGTTATATGAAAAGGAATATAACATTTCTCAAGTTAGAGTTGATAGTTATGTGAAAAAGTTGACTGGAACATTTCATAGGAGTTGTTGGGTTAAAGTGCATTAAGTGTTGGTATATGTACTAAGAACTTGAATATGTATATTAATATTATAACCAAATATATGAGATATTTATAGCATTAGACAAATAGAACAAGTCAACTAGAAAAGTAATATTTTAATTGAATTAAAATAATATTTTATTGAGCCAGACTTATTAAGAACGAGCCCTAGTGTAATATCTAAGAGAGAATTAAGGTTACACACCTTTGCGTGCTTATAAATAAGCCGAAGATATTTAGATCCAAGACACTTTTTGGAGAAATCCTAATCACCCATGAGCATCTAGGATATCGACAAATGAGAATTCTAGTGGGAGTATTCATATGAACTTTAATAGAGACATAACTGCCATTGTCATGTTCATGTTCAATTTCTAACATTGAGATGAGTTATAGATATTTGGATCATGTGTGATTCATCTTTTGTAGGTATTTACATTATTTATTATAGATTAGGCTTTTTAGTATATTTTAAGAACAAATAGGCTGATAAGCAAGTCAGATCGAGTTTAATAAAAATAATCCTATTATAGTATTTAAGCTTCATTCACTAATTATGTATTAAGTAAAGTTTAGACTTTTATAACTTGGCTAATTTCCACCCCTAGTAGTGACCAACTTATTGCCCATGACAAAAAGGTGTATGATGTCAACTTGGAAGAAATAGTTTGCCTCCATTTCTCTTATTGGTTTGTTAGCATCTTAGATTTGAGAGACAAGTAACACTCCACTATTATCTTCAATGCAATGTGGCCATGTTTACTACAAAATTGACTCCTTTTTTGCTTCTACTAGAGTTATTTGATGATCTACCTCTATTGGTATTCAAAGTTTGATTTCTGCCACCTCTTATATAGGACTCAAATTGTAATAAGGTTACTTGAACAACTTGCATTGAAATGGAGTCTATACTTTTTCTATTATTTCTTCTTGGGCCATTGATAATGCTTTAATTTCAAGAACACTAAAGGACTCAAAATGAGACATAACAAAAGAATCATATCCATCAAGGAAGCCATAAAGAATGGCTTGAGTAGCCTACTGCACTCAATTTTTACTTGCTTCTGAGAAGGGAAGTTTACCTCAAGAATTTTACATATAGGCAAGTGGCCTTGAGACCAAGAGTTCATCTTATTGTTCCTAATTTTAACAGTTTCATTGACATTCTCAAATAACTCAATTATCTACTGTTGTTAAGAATTTCTGAGGCATTTTTCCTAGTCTTGAGTGTCTCCAATTTGTAGCCTTTAATGGTGGCTAGGATTTGCTAGTTCCAAGCCATAATTTTGTCTCTTGATTGCAATTGGATTGGAGAAGGTTTAAATGTTGAATCATGGTTATGGATCTATGTCACTTCTCACCATTATTTAGATCTTAAATGATTTCCTAAAGAAAAAACTTGAAGAGAAAGAGAGCACAACTATATTGAGCACTGAAAAGTGCATATTTTAATATGTTTTATGACTTATATTTATGCATTTAAAGTTTATTTTATGGATTTTTCATATTAATTTTATTGTTAATTTTCACAATTAAACATGAGAGAACTACTGCTGCATTATAAAAATATTCTGAGCAAAAATAGGATGGTTGTAGCTAACCCCACAAGAAAGCACGGCTGTGCTTTGCACTTGTCAGTGCCTTATTATCTAGTATGGTCATGCTAAACAAATTTGCGTCAAAGTTTAAATTTGAATTTTAAATCTTGCAGGAGTTTTTATCTAAACACAGATTTAAATTTTAAAATATGGTGGCTGAGATTTTGATAGGGATAAAACCAATTTCCATTCAAAAAGATAAAGCTCAGTCACTGAAAATCGAGTAACTATCGAAGAACTCAGTGCATATCCTATATAAAGATGTCTTATCTCCTGACAAAGGAACCTTCTACATACCTTTTTTTTTCCCTAGGTTCTGACTTAATCAACTATTGAGAGTTATTGAAAATCATTGACAAAAATAACAAGTGTCTCTTTGGAGTCCGAGCGAGTGATTGAGCACCCCTTGGAGCGAGAGCTACTTCCATCCTTTTTCCTTTTGGGCCTTTTCAACTTGAATTCTCCTTTAAGTTTATGGATTTGTTTATCATGTTTTTCGTTATTTGTTTTATTATGGGGTAACTAAATTCATAATTAGGGCTATGGTGAAACCTATTGCATACTCTGTAATTTTTATGTTTAATATCGATGTTGGTTTTTTTTTAATGTTTGATTTTTATCCTATTGAATTGAATTTTGTATGCTAAAAAATAATCATCCTTAGTATCTCATAATTAATTATATCGTAGATGGTCGTACCACATGTAATTAATAAAACTATAAGATAAAACAAGATCAAAGGTTAGGTGGATCAAACTTAATTTTTCTCTTCTAACCGTTATTATTTTAATAAACACCAATGATCATTGAGGATAATTGCTTAGGAAAAAGAATATTGACATTGCATGATCATTGGGTATTAATAGAATAAGTATGGGTGGTTGGTAAACATTAAGGAAACTAATATTAAAATTAAATTAAGGAAAATATAGAAAGATTTAATAGGTGAAATCATATGTCCTAGGCTCTTTTCATTCAAGTTCTGTTAAAAACTACTTTCATGTGTTCATCTTGTTTTTAATTCATTACCCACTCTTTCAATTTAAACAATTAAATCAATGTGTTCTTGGTACTTGAAAATAACATCTATATGACGATAACTTAAAAACTTAATTTAAAAGTCTTTACTACTTTTCAACGGGTATACTTGCTCATGAACAAGCTCTACGGATGATGAACGAAATATAATATAAAGTCAAATCAACAATTATTTAAATGACTAATAATTACTCTTAGAATAATAATTAAATGTTAATAACAAGAGCTTATTCAAAGTGGTCCAATGTTTTCAATTTTTATTTTCAAATACAAATTTTAAAAAATAAAATATTTTTGACTAAAATAAAATAATTTTTTTTAACTTAATATCGAAACAATTTCACCTCAATTTTTGAAACAAAAATTACAATTTCAGCTTTAAAATTTTAGTTTAAAAACAAATTATTTAACTATCATATCTCCTAAAATACATGCAAGAAGCTACCATCACAACTAGCATGACCTTTGTTAATTTCATCATCATCATTGCCCCTGCCACTTTTACCACAACAATCCACCATCATTGTCTTTGCCACAACATTCATCACTATTATAATTACCACCATTGTTATTGTCACACTAACAACCACTAACTTTGTCAAGTTATTATCATTACCACTAAGATAATTATTTCCCCACCATGTTTGCTACTACCATAACAATCACACCAAACAAGGCCAACTGAACTATTATTTTTCCTTTACAATTTACAATTAAAAGTGATCCAATTCAGCTGGACTCGGCAGTTTGAATTTGGGAGAATAATAGCGAATATTTCTTCTCTTCCATTGATCAAATAACGTAGCAGTAAATGCTAGTAATGTTATTGATTGATAGTATAAATAACATGCTGATACAAGGATTTTACAAACACCAATAAGAGAAAATCCATCATATCAAACCGGATCCAAAATATTATCGAGAGTTTTATAAATGAGGGAAGCAACGTTCCCATCAGCGGTAGTAACAATAGTTCTAGTGGTTCCAATCTCTATCAAGGCCTTGTAAGGGTCATGTGTGTGAATTATACAGCGAGTTTGTGATTTGGCATCACTCACAATATTTTCCACAGATGCATTAATGCCCATATTTGATAATGCAGCCAAAAGCTTTTCCGAATCAGGTAAACCGCAATGTACCAAAGGCCTATCTCTTGAGGAATTGTTTTGATTATTGTCCAAAAGCAAGTGATGCTTAGCATTTTCCACTAATAGCTCCCCCTTTAATCTTGCAATATTGATTTCTTCCTTTATAAACGTTTTCCAATAAAACTGGGAAGCCAAGTCAGATGCAATTTTTAACTCTAAATTGTCCTTTCGGTATGACACTTTCAAAGTTTCAGCTTCAGTATAATACAAAACTGAAAAAGACTTTTCACTTGAAAAACTGATCAGTGACTTCAATTCCTCGGGGCACTAGAGAATAAAAAGGAGTAAAAACGAAAACAGACTATCAATTCATCGTATAAAACAATAATTAAGTGTATAAAGTATAAACCATAAAGTAACCTTTGTAGAAATTACCAGAATAGTCTTTGGCTGTAACATCTTTAGCAAAGGATGAATTTTCTGCAACCTACAGTGAAATCAAAATATGAAGAGATGATACTACATACATAAATCAATTTGTTAACAGCAAAAACTACACCTTTTATTGACCAAATTTCAAAGAAATAGTCTCTTTCAAAAATACACTATCAAACAGAGGTACTTTGAAACAGGGAAGAAAGAACAAAGGGGCATAGTTAATGTAATCCTATTCCCTGTCATTGATGTATGGTGCTGAGGAGCCCATCCATACACTGTCAATTCCATAAAAAACGGTAAATGAACAGTTAGCTAGGGTTGTATTTTACATTCTTGATATGTTCTTATCTCCTCTTTGTTCTTAGGGCAATACAATTAGAGACCACTTTGTAGTTCAATGTTTATTCATATTTTGAAAATTATTGGCAAGAATACTTGGGTCTATACACAAATGTGCACATTGGAAGCAACTAAGAGAAAGGTAAACCTACCCTATTCCAGAGGGAAACAAACATTGAAGAACCTTTATGGATACTGGCTTAAAAGGTAAGAGTGCTAGCTCAGGATTCAACACATCCTGCAAAGAGTAAAATGAATAAAATATTGGCCATAGCCATTCATAGTTTCAAACTTTATAAAAAGGACAAACTTAACATATTTCTAACAAAAATTAAAAAGTTACAGGAAAAAAAATGACCATAATGAAGCATCAAAAGTACTTATGTGAGGACTATAGCAAACCTCAAGGATAAGTAAAGATTTTGGATCACCACACCAACGGCGAAGAAGATGAACAACAGGACCCAGTCGCAGACTCCAGTGAGGACAAAATACAATGCAGGGTTCCTGCCAATTCAATCTACAACCAACATGTCAGTTTCTGTAAGCAAATAACAATAAAAAAAAGGTCTATGTAAACCATCTGTAACTTATGCAGATTCTTAAGGTTGAATGCTTCTCATACTTTTTGAGGCTATTAACAGAAACTCAAGACTGATATACAAAACACAAGATTTCCACCCAAATAGTCACATTGCAAGAACACATGATTTTGTTGCATCTAGAAACTTCACAGAAAAAATCAAAACAAAAAATCAATTTTGTTAATCATTGTCGTCCTCCAGAGTTCTTTATAAGAAAAAGATGGGATAAACAAGGTAAAAATCTCACATGAGTTGTTTGGAATGAATAGACGGAACGACATGAATCTTTTTCTCTTTTAGGAGCTTGATGTGTTCAAACAATGGTTCTCCAGCGAATAGCTGCCAACCAATTAAAATAGGTATAACGAAAGTCAAACTTCGTCAATAGAAATATGCAACTACAATGGACCAAATTCATAATTCTAAATGTCTATACTCTTTCTTGCCGCTGTTTGCAAAGCCACTCTGGTATGACGTTAAGCAATGCCAGTAATTCTTCGGCCACTGAAGAAATTATATAGACCGGAACCTACAAACAGAAAAATATCAAATATTTAATAAAAAGAAGTCAGTGAATAAGCATATCAGTTATTCCTCCAAAAATCCTTTAGCAAGTTATGTTACTTGGCTAGAAAATTATTTCTAGTTCACTTTTTAAACTTTCAATGACAGAACTTTTGGCTTTCCCTGTCTTTCCAATTACAAACACAAAAACAATGACAACAAAGCAATAAAATTTCAAAATATTAACACTGGTATGCAATATCATGATTCATGGACCTAAGGCTCTTAGCAAATGACAATAAAAAATGAGAATATGATAAACAAACAAAGGCTAATGCCACGTAGGTTTCTAAACACAGGCATTTTATCGGTGAGTAAGAACAAGCAACAACAATATGGGCATGTGGTTCCGCTGGACAGAAGGCAACAGGTTCAAACAAGGCTAATAAATGATACCTGATATATACATTCCATATTTTCATCGTAGTTTTTCTTGATTTTGATAACCATTAGTAGAAAACATTGAAAATAGAAAAAACACCTTCATGGCTGAAGCTTCAAGTGATTTTGTCATTTCCTCCAAAAGCTGCAAACTAGTTCCAAGTTGATTAATAGGAATTAGAACAGAACCCCCTTCTTTGACACTTTCTATAGCACATGAGGATATGAAAATTAGCTTTTCCTTATCTTCTAAATTCTCATCAGAGTTAAGGTTGAATCCAGCCACATCTTGAGAACTGCAGTAATAATCAACATGGAAGTTAATATTATCAGATGTAGATTTTCATTATCACGACCAAAAGATGACAGAATGAATTTTATAACAGCAATTACATGTATGAATACAACTTAGTTAGATGGGGAATAAAATTTCAGTATCTCATACCTCATAGGTGATGAATTATCAGCATTCACAGCAGAGTAATTATTCCCATCCTCAACATCTGATGCATCACTCAAGGATGAGAAGTCTGAATAAATTAATGCACAAGTCCCCTGTAGACTCTGGTAATCAAAAGTCATTGCATGAGCAGAAATTAAGCTAGAGCTTGAAAGATAAGCAATATCTCCCTTTGGACTATTTAGAACCCAATTACAACTTCCTATTTCTATACCAGAGCTGAATGCTTTTATAATCAATGTGCCATTGTAGCAAGCGTCCTCAGCATAATTAAGTGTGCGAATCTTTAGCATGCAATCCTTCACATCAGCTGCACTGAGAAATCCCACAGATTAAAATTTCAACCAAATTTTGTTATACTTTACTTCAAAGAATAAATTAACAAAGCAACAATGTTCACATAACAGTGTAAAAAGCAACACCTTAAAATAATGATAAAATTGCCATTTTAGCTTAGCATTCATAAAACAAAATTATAAGTCATAATTGAGTGCATGAAGCCTCTGTTTCGGAAAAATAAAAACAGAGAAATTGAACAACCAAACGAATGCATGCATGCATTGAACAAGTGACAAATAGAGTAGTGAAATAATCAATAATCAAATAGGATACATTTCAGCAGCATTTTAGTTCCTTTTCAATTTAACAATATAAGCTTATATTACCCTTCACTGAATCACATGATTCGTATTGGTGATAAAAAATCATGCCAATTCATCCATGTGTTGTAAAGACTCAAAGTCACATGAGATTCATCATATGAATGATATGATGAATAACCAGCTAGTTGAATTGCATTGAACCATTAAAGGCGAATCATGAATCATAAGATTGAAATAATTAAGATCAAATATAAAAATTATACAAGGTAAACAACTGAGAGAATCTTAGATGAGTTTTAAATACATTGGGTTGGGGTGATTTTGACAGGATTTTAGAGACAAAGCTCAAGCTTGAAAGCTAAGTAGTCAAAACCATTTCTATATGAAAATAATATTATTAATCAATCCCAAGATAATAACATATAAACAGTGCATGTAATAGTCAACCATACTTCATTCAGTTTTGGATGTAGAATATTGAGTCCCACATAAGTTTTTGGAGATAAATGCAAGCTACATTAAGGGTAGATTACCTGTACAACGGCATCCAACTGCCCAACTCCACTCCATCTTTTCCCAAGATTATTTCTCTCAATTCAGAAGGAAGCATTTCAAGCTCTTCCTGCCTCATCCATGTTGGGAAATTACACTCCCCAGGCCCATAAAACTGCCTGAATTCCGCATGCATTGATACAAGATCCTCCAGCATTAGCTTGCCCAATCTTGCTGATGCTTCAGTTACATATATCTAACCAATTGAACAAAATATGAAGTTAAGAAATTAGGGGGACAGAAATTGACAAATATGAGAGGATAGTCCAACAAATAAAATAATACAACACCAAAAGAATTACCTTAGCTGAGAAACCTTTCATCCGAGTAAGAAAAGGCAATCCCAGCATACCCATTGGACTGGAGATTAATACAACATCAATGAAAGCGGCATTCCATAGGTGCAAGTTATTAACAGTCTTGTACAACGGTTCTGCAAAAAGTAAGCTTTTAGCATCAAGGAGCTTTTCAATTTTCTGTCTCTTCCCAGACCCAACCCTTGAATTAAGAAAATCACTGGCCTTAGTTTCATTGCTTTCATCAAATAGCAGAGAATCCAAATCAGTGGGTACTGGAGAGAAGGCCATTAGAGCAGAAAGGTCTAGTGGGCAATCCAATAAGATCCTTATCCCACAAAAATTCAGCATGTGGCATGGTGGGAAGTGAAAGCCCCTGCCTTTGCTCAAACATGTCTGCAAAACCCAGGAAAGAAAACAAAAAATGAAACCCAGAGAAATTTTTCTGAAGAATATAAATCGATGGTTCCTTCGTATGGCACTAACAGAGACCCAAGATGGATACAGAAAGAAACTTACAAACTTCATAGAGGATGGAAAGGATAGACAGTTGCAGATTCCCAAAGGAACAAGTGCTAGTGGCTATTAAAGATGAAAGGGAGACAAATAGGAGCACAAGAACTCTTGGCTAAAGGGAGCGCTTCACCGTAAAACAACCTACAAATTTAACCCCATAAATTATCCTGAAAATGCAAATTTCACTTGTTTAGAAGTGTAGAGGGAGCTGAAAGAAGTTTAGAGACAAAATAAAAGGTTTGAATTTTGTATTGGATTATTAATACTAAGAGAGAAAAGTTAAGAGAATTTAATTATGTAAATAATATTATTATTTTATATATTTTTTTATTTTTAAAATAATATAAAAATTAAATTTTTTTCTAAAATTAATATTTTATTTTTTATAATTTTTAAAAAAATTTAGTTTAAAAACTAACATATTTAAAAAGATTATTTTTCTGTTATTATTTTTTTAAAATTAATATCATACTTTGTTAAAAATATTTATTAAATAAAAATAAATTAGTCATTTTAAAATTTGAATTAAAGAATTTAGAATAGAGAACTCAAAAACTTATAAGGTACGGAGATTTAGAAAAATTTCTTAACCATTCTTTCCCTCTCTCTTTGGCTAAACATGAAATTCAAACAGTAAAACGAGAAATTTGAGATTTAAAAACAATTAATTTCATAAATACATAAAGCTAGCAAACACACCTACCTTTTATCTTTGAACCATTTATTTTTTATATTAAAATTCTATACTATTAATATTTTGCATTAAAAAATAATAATAGCAAATAATTAAATTTGAAAAATATAAAAAAAAATTCTCTAGATTAGGTGAAGGAATTGAATGAAAAATTCTAATTTGGTGATAATAGAAAAAAAAATCTTCTTTAAACTAACTATACAAATAATAATTTCTTTTCTTTTTTCAAAGAATAATTTTTTAATCAAAAGCATTTTATTTCTAAAATACTATGATATTGATAATTTATATTCGATAACATATATGCAAGTCACACACAGACATATATATATCTTAAATAATGAACCACGTTAAAATCGTAAACTAGAAATGAAATTAATAAAAAATTTAATGATCAACATCTTTTTATAATTAAATATTTTAGACATTTCTCATGTTTTTCAATTTTTTTGTGACTAACTATCTCATATTTTATAAATTTCAAAACAATTCAGAATGAAAAAGGTATAAATAACCCAAAATTGCTTACACCTCTGGTCAAGGCCATATCACAGTAATTTAATAACTAAAATTTAATTAAACTAAAAATTACATATTTAGAGTGATTGTAAGGGAGATACACAACCAAAACTGCTAGATAGGGCACAAAACAAATGCAGGGAGCATTGAAGCCACAGTGGTAGAAGAGGCCAAGGAAGGAGAGACGTCTAAATCAACCCCAAGAAGAGAGTTGTAAGATATATGACCCCTCTCTTTTAAAGCATCTCTAATAATTCATTAAAATTTATAACAAATTACAAAAAGTTATTAGCAATTTTTTTATAATTTTTAATAAATTTATATCTCTTATAAATTATTTTAATTTATTTTATTGTAATAAAGTATTTTTAGTTTATCTTATTAATTTTATCATTAAATTATAATATAATTTATTATTTTAAAAATATTAAGTAAATATTTACATAACAATTATGTAATTTTATTTCAAAAGTGTATTACAAAAAGTGTGACATTTTTTTTTATTTGGTACTTAAAAAATTATGGAGTAAAAATAAAATTATTAATTTCTTAAAACTCACTTTAAGTAATTAATAATAAATGTTATTTATCTGAATTAATACAGGTTTTTAAGTAAATAAGATAAATTTAAAAAAAAAATAAAATAGGTTAACTTACAAATAAAATTCTAAAATAAATAACTTCAATGGTAAAGTGAATTAAAAAAAATAAGGTATAAAAATAACGCAACAAATATCACACATGTCACACTCTATATGTAAAGCATATTGAAAAAGTGTCACTTACTAGAACGTGTCATATGAGTCTATTAAAAATATGTTACTAATGTATAGACATATTTTTACGTGTCATCCTAATTGATATATTGGAGATATTAACACTTTTGATGATGATAATTCTAATTATAATTTACAAGGTGTTTAGAAACTAATAGTGATAATGTTAATAAGATAAAATTTCTAGTGGTAATTAAAATAACACTGATAGGTGATTTTGATTCAATTATTTAGTGAAATAGAATTATTAGTCCAATTACTTTTGGTAGTTTGATATTTTCTCCAAATTTAATTTGTAAATATCCACTCCAACAAGGTAATATTGTTCACATGTGAGTCATTAACTAATATTGTTATATATTATGAAAATAATAAATATTATATATATATATATATATATATATATATAATATTGTTATATTAATAGTAGAAGAGCAAAATACATTTTTAAACTCATCTATGCACAGTTGGCACATTAATTAGGATCACCCTCATGAAGAAATAAAATTTTTAGAAACAAATTTAGTTTATTATCAAAAAGATGGTGATGAATTATATATATTGGATAACAATTTAAATAAAAAGATGGGGTTAAAATGGCAGTTAAATTGTATTCAATGAGGATAACTCATTTACAAAAATTGTCTATAAATTATTTGCAAAAATTGTCTAATATTTTCTGCTTTAGTTTTAAATTACAGATAAAGTTTATCCATATATAAATCTATCTGTAATCATTTAAAATTTATCGATAAAATTTGTCTATATTTACAGATTTTATAGAAGTAAACATAATAACACTCATAACATATTCACTAATTTATACCTTTGTACGAAGGGACTATATTCCTATATATACTCCAACACATCCTCGGTACTTATAAACAATACCTAGACATCAATTAATAAAATAAGAATTTTCATCCTCCATCCAAGAAAATATTAGGGAAGTGCTTTCCACTTAGCATTAATCATAATAACATTCCTAGTAGTAAAAAAAATAAAATGGCATGGTTACAAGAGATCTTGTTACAAAATAACTCAACTACCCCAACAACCTCCATAGCAGTCCCTAACCCAAAATATTACAACATAAGTAAGATAGAAGAAATGAACCAAAGGAGTATGCTTCTTCTCGGATGGATCAGACTCTGCCATCTCCCAAGAGAGCTCCATATTAAGGGACCAAGTACTAGGGGTGGGCATGAATTAAATTTACACTAAACCAATTCAAATCCATTTTAAGTCTAATTATATGCATTGGATTTTAAACCAATCTATTTTATTTTTTACAAAATTAGTTTAAAATTAGTTTTAAAATTTAAATTTAGTTTAAGATGTTTTAAATTCAGTTTTGATCAATTAGCTTTATCAACATAGTCCAGTGTCACGCATAAAACACAGTTTTCTTTCATAAACTTATCTCAAACATTCTCTTAAACATATCTTTTGTTATTCTTTTCTATTTTTTTTTTATAGAGGATTAATGCTCAAAGCTTAAAATTTGGCCACAAAGTGTGAAAACTCTAAGATCATTGAGAAGAAAGATGCAACAACAATTCCTATTATTTTTAATTTTATTTTTATATTTATTTTATTTTTTATTGCACTATCAATCATATTTTTATTTTTTTACCTTATTTTTTTTTCTCTTTGCTCATTTTATATATAAAAAAGAAAGTTTCAACATATAATTTCTTATAATTAATAATTTATTTTTTAAAAACTTTGTCATCTCATTTAGTGTCGATAAAATATTTTTCTTTCATTTTATGGTTCACAAGCCACGAATTAGCTTCACATAAGTCAAATATTTTTATTTTTGCTATAGAAAGGGGCTAAAAGCCCAAATAGAAAACACTAAAATTTGCATCTAGAAGTCCAAATGCCATAAACTTATAGACATAAAAAGGGATACAAAGAAGGAGAGCTATCAAAACAAACAAAAGGAACACATTCCTCAACACCTAATTTGGCAAATCAAACAGCACATTAATTATCTTCTCTATAAATATGGCTAAATATAACTAATTTTATTTGTATTAACAACTCTCTAATGTCAAATAGCAACGAGGTAGAAGGATGAGATTGATCTTGAATGTTAGACACAAGAGATAAAGCTTTCTTAGAGTTCCCTTCAATCAAAATAATCTAAAATTGCTTTTGGATAATTAATTTGATTTTCAAATAAATTGTCCAAAGTTTAGCAACCAAGGGAAAGCAAGGACCGATACTTCTGTGAAAACTAGCAATGAAATTATGATGGTAATCTCTTATCAAACTACTATACCTAGCTGCGCTATGATTTGGAATAGTCAAGCCATCCATATTGAGTTTGAAATAAGCAAAATTGGGAGATAAATCTGTTGATCCACAAAGCTAGAAGTAGGTTTAATAAAATTTTGGGTAGAAAGAGGATTTCTGAAAAATAAAGGTGTTCCTATCTATCCACATATGCTAAATCACAAAGCCAAACAATCTATTCCAATTGGGGAAACTAGTAGAACATTGATTAGAGAGATTACCACTAATCCAAATCATTAGACTACCACGGAAGAAAACAACCCACTTTCAAGCAAAATAAAATGTTCTCACACTTGTCTAGCATAAAAACACACATAAAACATGAATAATAGACTCAAGTGCTTTTCCACATCGAGGACAAGTAGGAGAAGTTGACATGCCTTTCCCACATCTTGTCATGTTAGTGAATAGCCTACTGTGGGATATTTTCCATAAAAACATGGGGGAGGAGAGCATTCTACTTTCCAACCAATTTAAAAACATTAAGGCAAAAAGTAGACTTATGAAAATAATCAAACAAAAGGAGGTTAATGTCAACTATTAATCTGCACAATTAAATACGCAGGGAGACTTTAATCTTATTCTATTGCCAAGCTGCGTGAGAGGAGAAAAGGGTCATAGTGGTGTCTAATTCAGAATCAAAAATATGAGAGGTAGAGTAATTGTGAAGAAGATTGTGGTGTTGGGTCCATTTTTCAGTCCATAATTTAATAGATAAACCATCCCTCAAAGTCCAATTCAAACCCTGAGTAAAAATAGGCCAAACAAAAATCATACCTCTCCAAAGATGAGAAACCTTTTAGAGTCAAATATGGGAGGATTATGTCCAAGGACAAATAATATTTT